AAGACAGTAACAGTATGAAATATTAAGTTCAAGGGAATTGAAGAATTTCAGTGATACTGAGATCAGAAAACTGATCTGTCTCAACCAAAAAAAAAACTTAACCTGCAGTCATAAGGCAACAAGGGAATCATGATTTAACCTTAAACTTTACATATGAATGGCCCATATTTAAATCCAATTTACTTAAATATTTTAAGTGATGTAAACTAACCACTGGAAGTGGCCTATTCCCATTGCATACATGCTTTTAAGTTCATCTTAAAATCTGTCTCTATTTTCCAAGGAGCCTCATAAAACAAGTTAGATTTTGACAAAATCTATCATATTCCTCCCTAACAGTCAACCTAAAATATTCCAGAAATCAATATAGCCCTAGTTATATTTATTATTTTCTAAGATCTTCCACACCATTAAGGACAATATAGGTATGTTTATATGCACCTGCATGCACACCATTTGATAAGCTGAACTAGATAATTTCTAAATTCATATTTCTAAGATTGAATATACACATAAAATTCCTTCTTAAAATTTTAACTTATTTCAAAGCTTATTAAAAATGGTGTTCCCAGGTCTTCAGGTGAATTCACTAACAGATAATCACAAACTGTCTCTAATTCAAAAACCTAGCAATTTTAGACCACTCACAATAAAACTAGGGTGTGCACAAATATGCTTTTACCCAACAGTCCCACTGCTGACAATTCTTAAACAAAACTTAAACAGAATAAAATGAGATGTACAAAAGTAAGTACTGCTTCTATATTGGCAATAGCAACAAGAACAGAAACTAGATATTCACCAAAAGCAGTACAAGAAAAATGGAGGGGTTTAGGGATAGGGCCACACTTAAATATATTTTGAACATCAGATAGAAACAGGAGAGTTTGGTACATTAAGAAACTAAGAGATCACTATTTGTGACTGTGGTAATTACAGGTATATGTAAAAGGTTGGTGGTCTTGTAATTTTTTTCTCTTCAAAATCTTTTCTGGAATTATGGCCACATTGTTTTTAAATTAAAAATGGAAAAAATATAAACTAGAAACTTATACAATGTTAAAAGCCAATGTTAACTCAATAAAAAAAAAGTTCCCATTATGTAACTTTTTTTTTTTTTCTCCAAAGATTTATTTATTTATTTATACAAGCACTGGGTACAGTCAGAAGCACGGGAGGGTGAGAGAATTCATCAGAGCCAGAGCAGGGAGCAGAGCAGGCAGAAGGACCGAGGTACACTGCTGAGGCGCGCAGCGGGCGGCAGGAGAGGTCTGCGCGCCGTGTGGGACCCTCCTCCGGTGACCGGGTTGCAGCCGGGGATCCAACCGGCACTGCAGAGGCTGCGGGCAGCTTCGCAACCCAGCGCTCAACCGCTGCACTACTGGGGAGGCCCCCCCATTATGTAATTTCTTAACAAGGAAAAATATAAAGCTAATTCCATATCATCTAACCTTAACATCCAAAAAAAGAATAAAGCCTCTCCTTCCCTTCGGGGAAGTATGTTGCTGAACTTAACTTAGAAGTAGCATTAACCAAATAACCCATGAGAGAGATTGCTAGACTAGAAATACTAAGTCTATTTACATGATCAAAAAGCTTGCTAAATCTAAAACATGCATTTATGAAACACAGGCTATTCTGCTTTTTTGAGGGATTTTAAGTTATACTATCTTTTTTATGAATATGATTATATAAAACCCCATATTTCAGGAAGTAAGACAGTTGGTTTTGGATGATTAAGTTTCTGAAATTAGGGACCAGAGCACAAATACTAGGCTAATTCACTTTAAAAAAATAAAGTATGTATATATACCAAGTGACAAATATTTGGAAAATTCAACCGAAGAACATCCAAGACAAAAACTACAGGAAAGCAGGGGAAAAAATCTACAATCTTTAGAAAAAAGAGAGATGTGGTAGAGAAAAGTTATAAACTGTAAGGCGGAAAATCACTAGCTACGTGTGAATTAACAATGGTGAAACAATTAAGGTTGGACTCAGTTTTCAGAGAGCTGAATTTCCAGGTGTTCTTCAGAAGTTCATCCAGTAGTCACTACCCCTTTGTCCAATGGCAAAAAGCTACCCATTCAGTTAAGAACTTTTTACTAGGCAAGGTGGAAAGTCTAGAAAGTCTTAAATTTTTCATTCCTGAATTAACCCCCTAATTGCTAATTCAACCTAAGAACTGCTGAGATGAGAACAGAGATAGCAGTCTGTCAGTTATCGCCATCTTGTCAAAAATATCATCAATTTCCAATAGCAGCTAGGACACAGAACAGCTTTGTAAAGGACAGGGCTTAGAATGAAAATTGTAATCATTCTATCTAAACAGAGCAGAAATATTATAGGGAAAAAACTTCCCTCTTCCTTCTTTGATATACACACCAAATGTTTTATTTCCATCTTCTTAAAAAAAAAGGGGGGGGGGCTGTGTATGTGAATACTGAGCAAAACAGGAAGAAAGAGGAAAATGACCACGATTTCTAAAGGTAATGTATATACCAAAGTAGGCTGTAGGGATTTTTAATAGCGAAAAAAACATTACAACAGAACTGAAAAATATACTGGGGCCTAATATCAATCATATCAGCACATTCTCTCCTTAAAAAAAAGTCCAAATGGAAAGTCAAATTATAACCAAAAGCCATGTGTATTCTCAGAAAGAAGATTCTCAGAAACTAAAGAGTCTCAATCATGATACTATCAGGCTACACTGTAGGGATATACATGCCAATTAAGTTGACTATTAGTTAATTAGACTATTAGTACTGTAAGGGATACCAAGATAAAGTGACCTCTTGCTCTTCTGGACTACTTTCTACTTTCAGGCTTTCCACCTTCACGCTAACCATAACCCTCATATTAAAAACAGTGTTCTTGCTCAAAGAAGTCACAAACAACTGTTTCTGTTTTGGCTTCCATTCATAAAATGCTGTTATTTGGCCCACCCTATCTCAACTCTCTAATTCAAACAGCCTTGACTACATTGGAAGTTAGACCACCTGTTAGTTAGAATTAGTTTCATTCAGACACTGATGCTAGGAGAAATTCAAAGAACATCATAGGTCAACCTAAATAGTGATATATAAGGTATGGGGTAATTTCCTTTTAGAAAGTTTCATGTAATTACTTAAGAATCAAAGGATGCATAAATGTAGTAGAAGCATGTTATTTTAGATCACCCTCTCCGAGGGACTGGATAACACCTTCCTCTGCAGTCAAGAGCGATGAAGATGACCACTGCAACATCAACATCTGCAGAGAATCACCAAACCAAAACCCAGAGCTCCTTTATGTAATCTGTTAGAGCAAATGGCAAAAATGACAATAATTTTCTAGTCTATTTGGAAGACTTTCAGATATACTCTACAACCTCTCCTTGTTACATACTGAAGCAATTCTTATGCTCAGGATGGTTAAGATTTTCTTATAACCAAGATCTCTTAGTTAAGCCCTTTCCAGTTAAATAGGTTAGCACAAACTAAAACATTTAACACAAATGTGGAATCTTTAAATGACTTTGTCCAAAGTGAATGTTTCACAGCAAATAAAGGAAAAAATATGTAAGCTCTAGGTTTTTTGGTCAATAATGTTAATTGGATAAATGCTTTAAAATGTACCAAAAAAATCCACAAAAACTGAAATTAACCATATATACAAATCTGTAATTTTTTTACAACAAAAATTTCATGTATGAAAGTTTAGTTACATTTTCAGATAGTTTAAGACAGATTTATAGACTAAAAAGTAACTTATATTCCTGAATTCAGTCATGATAAAGAGACAACCTAACTTAATAGCATTAGTCAATGCTATAGATTTTAACCTCTAGAAAATACAAAATTGAACTGCTTAATTAGCAAAACTAAAGTCCCTTGTTGAAAATAACAAGATAAAATAACCATATAACCTAGTATTTTAAAGTTTCTCATATTAATGCTAGACATACTGCATTTTTAGAAAATGCATGTTTTGTATTTTTTTGTGTTGATAATATCTTTTAAACTAAAGAATTTAATTAAATGAAACATTAGCTTATGATAATTCTCTTCTATTAATGCATGGCTAAAAGATGCAAAATAACTATCCATTTACTTAGAAAGGGTATCCCTCTATTTCACCCAGTTAACTCTTACTCATCTTTTAGGTCTTAGCTGTTACTTAGTTTTTTCCAAACACCTTGCACAAATCCTGATTAAGTACTTTTGATAGCACTTTGTACTTTCATTACCAAAGCATTCTTCAAATACATTACAATTATCTGGCAGTGACTGGTACAAAAAGATGTTTAAATATTTTCAGAACAGCCTCAAAGTGGTTGAGAAATCAACCCTTCAGATCAAGCTGTAGTTGTAAATAAGGGGTGGAGGTTTGGGCAGAGGTAGGAGGGCTACTATGGTAGGAGAACAGGCAAAGGATACTTAACGTATTTCCCCAAGAAGAAAGACTGCAAAAGCTTCTAAAAGTGCTATGGTGGTAGAACAACTATGGGAACTGTACCTGAGGGGAAAATCAAGTACCGTACAAAAATGAACACCAATATAAGAAAATAAATTACTTTAATTATAAATTATAAAGTAAAAATACATCAATCCATCACTTTTATAATGATATACATGCAAGCCTCCTTTGTGCTGCTGGGGTTGAAGACTCAGCGCTATCAAGCTATCTGCAGCCACTGTGACAACAGGAGTTCCATCCCCAGCCAGGGAGCTAAACCACATGGCACAGCAGATCTCTCCTGTCTCGCCTGCTGCACCCCTCAGCTATGTATTCAGTAGATCTGCCTATTCTATTCCCTACTCTCTCTCTCTGGTGAATCCTCTCACCCCCACCCCTACACCTCTGGTCTACACCCCAGTTCTTGTATGCATAAATAAAAAAAACCAAAACTTTATAATGACATACATGACTGGCTTAAAAATCAGATGAATCAATTTAAGAAAGAAGGTATTTTATTTTGAGTTGCTTAAAAGATTCATAAACTGGAAAAATCTCACCTGTCATGGGATCAAAGAGCTGATTAGCTTCCAAGTCTGTAAAAGTATTACTACAACAAGGACATTTGAAGGAAGCCCGATTGGTGGAATCTCTCTCATCAGTTTCAATTCTCCTCCTCATGTGGTCCAGTTTATATTTTACCACATTAACAAGAGTACGATAATTAATAAAGTAGTAGTTATGACGAGTGGTTTTTCCATCTGCAGCAGTCTCTACCCTCATTCTGCATTTGATGAACTTGTCTCCCTTTAAATTATTTAAAACTGATCTAAGTTGCTTCCGATCAAATTTCAGAAGCTCCAGCATATCCTCTTCTTTCACACAGGGGTTCCGGATCAAGATGTCCAAAGCCAAGGCGTGCTCAATGCCATAAAACCCCCGGATCACATACTTGGCTAACCTCTTCAATGCTGCTGGAACCTCAGTGAGGACATCTGGGTCAGCCATCTTTTTGCAGCAAATTTCAACTTTTACTGAATCCAGAAAAAAAAAAAAAAAAGTTAGATGGACATAGCAATAATTTTAAATCTGGTGGCTAGCTGGCAGCTACCACTATTCTTGGAATATCACAAAGGTACTCAAAACATTTTTTTTTAAAGACTTGTAATGCCTAAGTCTTTAAACTCTTATGTTCTAGTTAAAGAATAAAATTTTCCTTTAGAATGTAGAGAAGATTACACCTACAAAGCTTGATATATTTCTTAGATGGCTACTTTCAGATCTATAGTGTGCCTGATTCTATGAAGTAACTATTACACAAAAAAGCTAAATGAAGTCTCACTAGTTTTAATGATACAGATCATTGAAAATGCTAGGAACCCCCTAAGAAATCTAACAGTTGACATTAGGTTCATATGTGTTTATTTCTTTTCATGGGTAAAATTTTTCTACCAAGATAGATTCTAGGGCATTTCATAGTCATGCTCTCACAATAAAGACACAAAAACCCAATAAACACAATCTCCAGTTGGGGTATATGACAATACTACTAACTGTTACAAATCTGAAAGAAATTAATACTTGGATTCAGACAGAGTACAATTCTAAAGAAAAGAAAAATCCCAGGATATCCTGAAATATCAGATTTCTTGCAGAACAAAGCAGAAGCGAATCGTATCTAGTTCTCAAGCCATGACCTGGAAAGCTCTTGCCCAAACTGGCATGAGCTAGCTGTTAAAAAGCCTGGATTTTGGAATTCAGAGTTAGACAGCCTGTGGGTTTTTTTTGGGTTTTTTTTTTTTTTTTTTTTTTGTGGGACCCTCGCTGATGGCCGGAGATCGAACTGGCGCTGCAGAGGCTGCGGGCAGCCTCGCAACCCAGCGCTCAACCACTGTGCCACCAGGGGAGGCCCAGACAGCCTGTGTTTTAGTAGCCATGTAATTTTGAGTAAATCCCTTCAACAACTTCAAGTCATTTCAAGTTACATTTTACTCTGAGAAATAAGGATAGTATCAGCTACCTCAATGAGGTTGTTGTGAGTTAATGAGAATGTATGTAATGTGCTTAGGAAGCACTTGTTAATAAGGAGAGAGCTTCCATCTCAATTTATTATGTCCCAAAATAAAAACAAGCAGGCTATACACATAGACCACGTCAAATGAAATTTCCCAACACTGCGAGGAAATTTTTAACAGGCATAGCACTTTGAACTATTTCAATGGGAGAACCAGAGAATTTATGCTAACACCATGTTCAAAATCTCTACATTTAAAAACTCTCCTTCCTGACCTCTGCCCTTTCTCCTCCACCACTTCTACTCCCTATATAAGCTAGACAAGTTTATACTGAACCTTTAAAAAATATCAATCAGTGGTTATCAACATTATTAGATTGAATACCCCCACAGTAATATACTAAAAAAAATTTATAACCAATCGTTATGCATGGGGGGAGGGAGGCATAAAGGAAAGTTATAATAAAAGTTATAATAAAGTATATATTTCTAAAAGTTATAATAAAGTATATATTTGAGATAGTAAAAGCACAGGCATGACTATAGATAAGAGACAACAAAGTAGCACCTAGATGGCAATCTGGTTTAGGGCCTTTCTGTCATCTTAAAACTTAAGGCCGCCAAGTAAGTATCACAGCAGTATCACAGCATATTAGCAGGTGCACTTTGGTCTCCTTTCCAATTTGGTCTATATGTTTATATTTGAAACCAGTTTTAGTTTCCTGTTTTAATCTTCAACAGGTTGCAGAACATAACAGAGCAGAAAATGCATGCAACAGAGCAATAAATGACAAATATCAAAATTACCTACCTTTCCAACTCATTTCCGACTATTATGTTCCCTCCCTGACCTTGCACCCATACACTCTATTTTCCAAACCAAGGGTTCTCAACCCTGGCTATAAACTAGAATCAGCTAAGGAGCATTTTAAAATACCCACCCTGAACCCCCATTCCCAGAAATTCTGTTTCAGCTGGTGGAGGGGGAGGACAAGGCAGGGAGGCACATTAGGCGTCATCTTAATTTAGAAGTTCTTTAGATGACTCCAACATACAGAAAAAGTCCTTGATCACGGCTTGAGACAAACTGGATGCCTAGCTATGATATATCCTGCCAATGCACAAGCTGCATGGGACAGCCTTATCACTCAACCTGTTTCCTTTACCTGAAACACCTTAGGGACCCTAAAGATTTAACGGAGTGACAGGAAGACAGCAATTCAATAGTTTTAGATTTTGAATCCCTGTTCCACCATTTCTTAGTGGGTGACCCTGGAAAATTCTCAGCCTCAGCTTCCTCATATATAAAAAGTGATGAATAGTGCCTTCCTCATACAGTTCATGTATGGATGAAATAATTGATACAAAGTGTTCTCCTTTCAGAACTGGCATCATAAGAATTGCTTTAAGTATTGACACTCATAATTAGACTTCCTATTTAGAAGTGTTTGAGGAATGAGGACTAAAGTAAGTGCATATAGAGGCAAGAAGGAAGTAATAGAAGCTATAGAAATCAAACCTAACCTAAGGAAGAGGATAGGATGAATCAAATTTATTACAGAAACAAAATCAAAAGGACCCAATAATCTATTGGAAAATGGAATAGGAAAAATTTTAAGTAGCTTTTTGTGTTTCCCAATTTTTTAAATCCTGGTAAAGTACACAAAATTTACCAATTAACCATTTTTACCTATAGAGTTCAGTGGCATTAAGTATACTCATAATGTTATGCAACTATCAGCACTACTCTCCAGAATTCTTCGCCTTTTAAAACTGAAATGCTATACCTATTAAACAATGACATAGTTTAATGCTATTCAACAATAACATATAGTTATTTGTTATGAGCCAATGTAAGTAGGGAAGAATGAGGCATTTACTTTTAGTTTCTTGTCTTTGAGAAAATACCACAGAATATTCCTGTGAAGATGTCCAGTAAGTAGCTGGACAAAATGAAAATGGAGTTCAGAAATGAAGTCATGCTAAGCCACCATGTTGAAAATCTGTACATTTAAAAACTCTGCATACATTGAGCAAAAATGAAGTGATGTAAAAAATATATAAAGTCAAAAAAACCCAAAAAACTCTGCTTTCTCCTCCACCACTTCTACTCCCTGTATATGCTAACTTTCCAAACTTTGGATTTCTAGCACCACTTAGGCCAGATGTCTCAAATTGGCAGCCTCTGCCACATCGTTTAACCCAAATGATGCTACGAAAATTTTCTCAATTGTCAACATTTTAAAATCCTAATGTTTCACGTAAACTTCAATTAACAGCTCTTGAAATTTGGGATTATCTGAGGAAAAAAGTAAGTCCATGTTCCCACATGGTAACAAGTTGGAACTGAGGAACAGTTGTTAAGAAGGGAAGGAAAGAATGGGGCACAGGCTGTATATTGTTAAATGCTGACTTCTAAAGACTTTTGAGTGTGTGACCTCTTAGAGTCAGCCCTTGTTTCTTTGCTGTAGTCTCACTGTCTAACATTAGTCACCTCCTAGGCTTAACTCCCTACCCCGCGCAGCCTCCCCACTGCCAAGTTGGTTTTGTTTTTGAACCATATGAGTCTAATCATACAAATATATAAGAATTACTGGGCACTAGACACAGAGTTGAAGAAACAAAGTGGAAATGAATGCTCTTGCTACACTCTATCTACCTTTGTCAACCTCATATCCAGCCACGCTGGCTCTCAATCCTTGAAGCCATTCATGCTGGACTCCTCGCACTCACTTCTAGTCCTTTGCACATGCTGTTTCCTTTGCCACAAAAAATAAAGCCCAAACTGCCTTCTCCAAATCATCCTTCATATCTCAAATGACACTGCCTCAGAGAAATCTTCCCAGATTCCCGGTAAGAGTTTAGAATGATCCCCTTTCAAATCTACCCATAACTCTTTCTCTTTCCCCTTCTTTTGTTGCAGTGAATATACTAATACTTTCTTCATGTCTACCTCTGAGATCAAGGACTTAATCTTATTCACCATTGTCCTTTCAGCATCCAGCACAGCTAGCTAATCAAGTATTTTTATAAAACTTTCAATACATCGCCTAACCACGTGGTCTTCCAACAGGCCCATCCTGCCTGCTTCCCCCAATTCACTACTTCCATTGCTGCTTCCGGAACAGAAAAAGACAGGTTATAGAATATCTTCTTACATTTCAAAAAGCTTTAAGAAAGAGGTAATGGGATCAAATTCTCGATTTTAAAAGATTCGCCTGAATGCGGGGTGCAAAATAAAAGGGGAAAAGAGTGGATGCTAAGAGTCCAGTTAGAGTATCTCAGTCCGACAGCACTATTCCAGTCGTAGAAGTACTTGGGGTCTATAACTGTAGTTTCTCCCTTTGCCATATTTCAAAGTACTCTCCACGCCTTCATACTTAAAACAGTGTATCACCGTGAAACTGTTGTAGAGCAACCCCGATACAAACAAAACCTCCAAACTAGCTGCCCTTCAAGAGCCTTCTTCAGTCATGTTCACTCCTCCCCACTGCGAGACCCCGAGCCCCTAATTCGCTTAAGACTCTGCCTCCTGAGTCCAGCGGCCACACTCCATGCGGCCAAGCCCGTCCTACCCGAGGTCGCACAAGGGCCGCTCCGGGGTCAATGGTCCCTTGGAGGACCCACTCGAGGGAGTCAGAGTAGGGGACCTAAAGATGGAGGAACAAAGATAGGGGAGACACCCTGAAAATGCGATGCCCAGCCAGGGAACCAAGAAGAAGTAACAGGGAATAAGGTTTACCAAAGCGAATCCTCGAACACTCCCACTACAGCGTCTCTGAGCGCCTCAACTACCGGCTCCAATGAGCCACGCACGCCACTCCTGCGACCAAGCCGACGTCGTAGGCCTGCGACTCGTTTGCGGCCCACTCGCCACATTTAAACGGGCCGGCCAATCAGTCTTCAATCAAGACGGTCACTTTCCGATTGGCCAATGAAATGGAAGGTTCTGTCCCCATCCCCAGCGCTCATTTGGCGAACAATTCCGGAACAGGCGTTAACCCCGGGCCGGCGGTGGCGAGATGGCGTCCCTGGATCGGGTGAAGGTGCTGGTGTTGGGAGACTCAGGTGAGCGGCTTCACCCACTTCCGGGGCTCCCGACATGATAGAGTTTTCCGAGGACCCTCCCCTTTCACTAGTCTACGTCCTCAGTGAGGCGGCTCTTCGGCCTGTGGCTGGAAGCCCCCTTAAGGGCTAAAGACTACACTTCCCAGAGGACTTTGCTCTAGTTCACGAAGCTGGCGGCGTCGCGCGGGCGGGGGGCGCGGGGCCCTGGTCCGTCGCCGCCTTCGCCGCTTTCCGGCTCGGTTTCCCCGACTACCGCGACCGTAGTGTATTGTCAATTCCTTTGTTTTAAAAGAGGTGCAGACATTATGTATTGTAGGGGCGCCGCGCGAAGGCTACGGAAGTTAGGATCGTGCCTTCAAAAGAGTTTGTTCAGGGCTTCCCCCCGTGGCGCAACGGGTTGAGCGCAGCGCTGCGAAGCGGTCCGCAGCCTCTGCAGCGCCGGTTCGAGCCCCGCCTGCCTGGGAGATACCCACATGGCGCGGCAGACCTCTCTTGTCTCGTCCGCTGTTCCCCTGAGCAGTGTATTTCTGTCGGTCTGCCTGTTCTGCTCCCTGCTCTGTCTGGTGAATCCTTTCACCCTCCCGCACATCTGACCTGTACCCTGATTTTTGAATGCATGGTAAAGCTTAAAAAAAAAAAAAAAAAAAAGAGTTTGTTCGTTAGGGAAGTCAAACGTACACTAAGAATGAAGCTGACCCAAGTCCTTTGCACATACTAATATGAGATTTAGCCCAGTTGCTTCATTTTACACATGAGAAAAATGAGGCGGAGAGACTTAAGGGACAGACCCAGTTGATTATGGGTTGAACCCATAATGTATGCACTTAAACGCTGAACTGTGTTATGAAATGAAATATTGGGTGGTAGTCTTCTTTCTCTCAGTGGTCTTGATTTCTTTAATCTTAATTGAAAACCTGTTATGTGTTACCTTGTAAACAAAGAAATTAAGTGAGGGCAATATTATGAACCAGGTAGAATTTAATACTGAGCCCAATTTAATCTGGAAGTTAAAATTCTTTTCGTTCCTTGGACGTTGAGAACTAAAATTGAAATCTGCATTTCCCTTCTGCCTCCTCACCAGCCTTTCCTTTCTCAACAAAATCTTCTCTCTGTTTCTTAAGAATACGGAATAAATGCTAGCCTTGCATTTCAAAGATAAGCTCTTCTGGAGTTGACCTTTGAATGTGTGCTGGAAGTAAAGACATTGTGCCACACTGGAGGTGGCGAGGACATACCCCAGAGAACTTGAAAACTGGCCTTACAGAAGTGTTTAGGTTGGCTGGGGAGAGTTAGATGTTGAGAATGTTTTCATATTGCCTGAAGATGTATTGCATTACAAAATATTTTAGGAGAGACTTGTTTGATATACTCTTCAAAGAGATACATTATGAAACTATGAATATAATCCAATTTATGTCAACTCCAGTTCTTTAGTTTGAAAGTGGTACTGAAATTAATTTAATAAAATCACTCAGTTTTATAGAAGAAAATAATGTGGAGTAAAGAGATTTGGCAAGAGTATCCCCAAGTATAATTTAGGACTGAAATCCAGAGCTAACTCAATTCTTATTGAATAAGGGAATTGTATGTTCTTGTCTATAATTCCCTCTTCTATTGCATCTAACAATCTCTTCATGTTACATATTGTTGAAACTAGTGAACCACCCCACCCCCCCCATAGGTACTTAAATACCGATAACATAGCAGGTGCTATATTAAGTGTGGGGTAATAAATGTGGAATCAATGCATTACATAACAGCGTCGATTTAGCTGGTGCATTAAATGTAAAAAGTGATTTGGAAATTAATAAACTTTTTTCCACTATAGTTTAGTTGTAAAACAAAAGACACCCATCAAGGAAGTGACTTATCTTGTCACACATTCACTGATGTTAGGTTACATGTATAAAGTCAGTTATTGCCTTTTTATCAATTTCCTTTTAACAGTGATTTGCTATCTGGCCATTTAAAATCTACTTTTTATACATCATCTCTCCTTGTATTCAATATTTAAAGTTTACTTTTGAAGAAAGGCTTATTTCCCATGTGAAACTTTGAGGATTTCACAAATATATAAAGGAATGACTTGGGATTTAGAGATTACTTTTGTATTCCATGGAGATATTAGGTAATTTATTAAGGAATCCTGAAAGTCTCTCTAACTTACACTTACGCTGAACCAAACACATTACCAACAACTGTATTTGAAACTGGCCCTTATTTGATTTTATTGTGCCTTTCCTCTGGCCTCCAGCAAGTGTATTCTTTTAATCTACTTTAGTTCTATTGATAAAAACTCAGATCCAGAACCTTCACAGTTCAATTATTCTTTCTGTTGAGAGTTCATCCAGTATTAACTAATTCCCCAAAGCAGTTAATTCATGGAGAACTATACATTGTTACTGCTGTAGAGACTCTGACATAGTTGAGCTTAATTAGAAACTCAGGCCTTCCATCATGCTGATAACTAATATGTGCCTCTAATATAAGCAAACAGACATGCAGTCACAAGAAAATCTGCAGTATGCCTAAAGGTCACAGATATTAAATGCAATGCAATAAATACAAACAAAGCTAAGTTGGCAAAAATTTTAAATATTAGTATGTACAAAAATAAAAAGAATAAAAGGGGAACCTAGGGAAACTGATTCAGTTATATGAGATGACAAATTGAAAACTGAAACCCAGTAGAAAAATGGACAAAGTATGTCAGTAGATAATTCATGATAGGAAAGGCAACTGACTAGCTAAATGTCTTTTTTTTTTTTTTTTTTTGGTCTTAACAAATTAACAAAGATGAAAAAGCAACTACATATATTTGAGAGACAATAAGTCCTGTAGGTGTATGTGTTTGCTTAAGACTGGATAAGCCTGCTCTGCTCTGCTGGTGGCAGAGCAACCTGATGCAAATTGTCAGTATATATCAGAACTTTAAATGTTCATTTCCTTCTACGTATTAATTTCACTTCTAAGAAAGAAATGAAATTTAATTTTAAAGAAAGTTTAGGTAAATTTTTCCCCTTATTGTAGAGAATAGTTCAAAACACCCTAAATATCTAATAATGGGGGAATGGTTACATAAGTTATGTCTACTCCCTGGTAACAACAGAGGCACTAAAATATTTGTGAACATAAATTTTTGTCATTAAGTGAATACTAATTATGGCCCTGTTCTGAGATTTTAAAAAGATGAGTAAAACACAGCCCTCAAAGAACTTAAATAGGGCCAATAAAACCTATACTGATGTATTTTTAAGTGCTCTGTAGGAAAGTGTCCAGGGTATAGTGAAGACCCAGAATCTGGTGAATGGTGTGCTTAGTTCTACCTGCATGGAGTCATTCTTTATAACTAGAGTAATGCCAAGTCTTGAAAGATTGAGCCTTAAAGACTTAATCTTTAAAGGCCAATTGGGGATGGGGAGGGAGTAGAGGGAGACCAAGAATAGGATATTACAGTGAACCAACTGTGGAAGAAAAGGTTTATGTTTCATTGTTTTAAGTACACGTGTGTGTGTGTGTGTGTGTGTTTGTGTGTGTGTATTATATATATACATATACATATATAATACATATATTCACAATAACAGCCTGCTTATAGAAAACCACTCTGTGGAATTAAATAAACCTACATCTTGACAATAGTGCTCTTTTTTATACTTTCTAGATTGTCTATAAATAAATAGGTTCATATGCAATAATGCATACAAAGAGATGGTCTGAATTTTTTTTTAAAGATTTATTCACTCATGCATACAAGAACTGGGGTACAGGCCAGAGGCATCAGGGGGTGAGAAGATTCACCAGAGACAGAGTGGGGAACAAAACAGGCAGACCGGCTTTAATACACTGCCAAAAGTCGCAGCGGACGAGTCAGGAGATATCTGCTGTGCCATGAGGGCATCTCCCTGGCTGGGGATCGAACCCGTGCTGCAGTGGCTGTGGACAGCCTCATAGGCTACATCTCAACCCCTTGCGCCTCTATCTAAATTTTTTATAGAATTTAGTGATGTTGTATGCTTCATCAAGTTGATGGTACATAGATATCCACCAACTATGCTGATCATAAGGGCATCCCAAAATGCTGTTAATTAAATGAGTGCATGGGAAAAGCTCTTTCCCTTTCTTTTTCATACATATCTCCAAATGATAATCCTGGTACTAATAGCTACATTACTGTGAACCCAAAAGAAAGTGGCCTTTTAAAGGGCCATGATGTTGAAGAGGGAAGAGAGTTCTCTTTTTTTGGAGGGTAAGTCTGGGCCAAGTGGTTTGCTGCCTTTTAAAAATCACTGGGGGCTTCCCTAGTGGCCTAATTAAGTCATAACCTTATCACCACTAGGGCCTGAGTTTGATCCCCAGCCAGGGAGCTAACCCACATGGCACAGCAGACCTCTCCTATCTTACCTGCTGCTCCCCTCAGCAACTTTTTCAGTAAATCTGCCTGTTCTGCTCCCCACTGTACACTCTGTCTCTGGTGAATCCTGTCACCCCCATGTACCACTGGCCTACACCCCAGTTTTTCTATGCAAAAAAAAAAAAGAACCTCTAAAAATCGCTGGACAACTGGAGTATCTAAGTGTCAAAGTGGGAAATGTAAGTCCCTGTCACTGTCAGTGTTCAAGCACAATCTGAAGAACATCTAACCTGGTGCTGAGTAACAGACTCTGTATTGAAAGTCAGAATAAAGGAGATTGCCTCTGAGATCTAGTAAGATTCTCCAGTTCTAAAATAAGCCAAATAGATGAAATCATACAAAAAGAAAGGGATTAGTTCACATGAAATTGCCCTAGGACCAGTAGTTCTCATAGTAAGCCCTCAGACCATTAGCAGCAGCATTTGTTGGGAATTTGTTAGAAGTGCAAAATCTGGGCTCCTCCACAGACCTCTAAATAGAAAACCCTAGAAGCAGGACCCAGCATTTTGTGTTGTACGAGCCTTCCAGGTGATTCTGAAGCTAAATTTGAGAGAACTATTGCCCTTGACTGTCTTCTTTCCATCATTAAAGCACACATTAAAATGGTTGGCATGGTATGAACACCCTTTAAACCATTCATGTATACATTCATATATATATTTATATATAAATAAATATATATCATTTTTATATATATCATTATTAAGCATATCCTCAGTATTAACTCTGGCCATGGTAGATTTTCAGCATGCCTCTTACATGATAGAATTCTTGCATCTTTTACAGGTGTTGGAAAGTCTTCACTAGTTCATCTTTTGTGCCAAAATCAAGTGCTTGGAAATCCATCATGGACCGTGGGCTGCTCAGTAGATGTCAGAGTATGTGTTGCTTATATTTTAGTCTTTCAGTAGTCATATTAAAGATAATTCCTTCAAACTATATAGTCAAATTACAGTACTTTATTCAAGACTAAGTAATAATAATAGCTGTGCTTATTAAGCATCTACTGTGTGCCAGATACTATGATAAATGCCTTACATGTCTTTGTTTATTTAAACTGTGAGCTATAGCTGTATAAACTAAGGCATAGAGAAGTAAAGTAACTTGACCAAATTGACTCAGTTCAAGAAGCAGAGTCAGAATTTGATCCCAATTAGTCTGATTCGAGAAATTTCAGTTATAATTACTATGCTACCTAGCGTTTAGTTAACATGCTTCATAAGTATTTCTGCCTAAGCTTTTGCCACTAAGTCAACTTTTGACTAGAAATACAGTGTAAAGGCAAAGACTTTATATCTAGGTCATCTGTTCCACCTCACCTTTAGAAAACAGGTTTAGTTTTTACTGAATTAAGTATCTTCCCAGATATTGTTAGTCTTTGCTAATTCCATATAATTCTGTTCAACTTTCATTTCTGCTGGCTTACTTCTGTCTGTTGAGTTAGAAGTAAGAGAAGGATGGTAGTTAGTTAGATTGATGGTTACTGTGTAGTTCTTAGAAGCTATTATTCCATAGTCTGTTAATGTTGCTGCTAATTAGAAATCTTCTGTCAGTCTAGTTCTTATTGTTCTTTAAAGTAATGTGTTATTTCTAGCTGCTTTTAAAGAATTTTAATCTTTGATATTTTGTATTTTTGCTCATGCACATCTAGGTGTAGATTAGTTTTTAATCATCCTGTTCAGCATTCTTCTATCCCTTCCTTTTGTACCTGTATTAGATTTTTATCCTCCATATCATTTAATTACACTTTCATGTTTTCTATTCTTTGTTTCTCCTTGGTTGCATTCTGGATAAGATATTCATATTTGCCTTCTAGGTAGCCGAGAATCTCTTCAACTATATCTAATCTGCTTTTTAATATATCCTCTCATCTCTATTACTAATTTTTAATATCTAGATGTTCTTTTTAGTTCTTTGTCAAATGTCAAAATTTATCAAAATATCCTGATCTTTCATTAAGATTTTACTTTCTAATCATTTTCAACATACTTTCTATGCTTTCTTTTCAATTGCTCTATTATTTTTTTTTCTCAGTAGGTGATAGGTATTCTACTTGCTGAATATGAGACTCTACTTCATAGAAATGTATTTCCTTGTGGTTTGTATTTCTTTGAAGATGGTCACAGCTTCAACAGGATTTCTTTTCTTCTTCCCCTTGGAAGTCCTGTATGCTGTGTTGTGAAAGTACAGTGCTTTTCATTTCAATTGCTGTCAGAGCCCTAGGGATTTCAATAGTCTTTATCATTCCTCAGCTCAGAGTTCCCTTGCCATCTAGATAATGTCAGTTCCCCTAATGTCCTATTATAACATGGACTGGTGGTTTCCATTTCTCACATACTTTTTATCTGCTCTCTACCACCCTTAGCCATTGTCCCTGACAGAAAGTATTTCCTGCTTTCCTGAACCAGGGAACAGTGTTTTTCCTACTCTGTCTTTCACTATTGCTCATCAAAGGTCCGATATCATGAAGGGAACTACAGTTTAGTCTTTGCACTCACCCACATATACTCTTGCCTTAACAGCTAGAAAACAGACCTCTATTTCTGAATGGGCACTAAAACTCCAGGGACCAGCTACTGAAGCTATATTTGAATCTGGATCACTTCCCAGTTCTCACTGTGATTTTAAGTTCTGTTTTTCAATTCTAGCATCTGGGGATAATCCTTTCTCTTGATCTTGTCTTCTGTATATTTTAGAAGTATTTTTATGGCATTACTATGAATTGAAGTCAAAGGGAACCCAACAAGGTATTTCAATGTGCCTTGTTCCCTAAATTCTTATCAATAGAATAAAAACTAATTTAACATTATGAGTTCAATGACAACTTTAAGTTTGGGATAATAACTTTGAACAAAATCCCCTTGGACTTTCTAGCTTTTTCTTTCCTTCAGATTTTTATTTATTTTAGTATAGATGAGCTGGGGTATAAGCCAGAGGTGCAGTGGGTGAGAGGATTCACCAGGACAGAATGGGGAGCAGAGCAGGCAGATTTGCTGAAATACACTGCTGAGGGGAGCAGCAAGTGGGACAGGAGAGGTCTGCTGCACTCTCTAGCTCCTTTTTTACGAGCGAGCATGACATATTGAAAAGAAACTGTTATTAAAACTTGCAACGTAGAAAGACGGAGAGCAAAGAGAGGAAAGAAAACAAAGGGCTATGGTGGAGGAATATTAGTGCCTTGGTGCTAGGTGTGATGTAGTAACATATATCTGAGGAGGTATGAACCTGTACCTCTGAATCACATACAGTATTATAAACCATCATTACCTCAATTTAGAAAATGCTGACTGTAAAAAAAAACTTTAATTAAATTCCCATTTGGGAGTGAATCCCCATATTACCTTTTGCTTTTTTTAAAAAGATTTATCTATCTATTTATTTATTTATTCATTCATTCATTCATTTATTTATTTATTTATACAAGAACTGGGGTACAGGCCAGAAGTGCGGGAGGATGAGAGGATTCACCAGAGACAGAGCCGGGTGTAGAACAGGCAGACAGACTGAAGACATTGCTGAGGGGAGCAGCGGGCAAGACAAGAGGGGTCTGCCGTGCCATATGGGCATCTCCCTGGCCGGCCAGGAGTTGAACCCACACTGCAGAGGCTGCAGGCAGCTTCACAGCTCTGTGCTCAATCTGCTGTGCCACTGGGGAGGCCCCTGCTTTTTCCTTCTTAAAGAATGAACTTAGACTAATCACTTTTGTCCTCAAATTCTTAGTATGTCACCAGCAAACTATTGGTAAATAATACCTGCTATATCTAGAGTACAGGTCTGCAGGGAGGACCAAAGAAGTTTAACAGACGTGAATTAAGGTCTAATGCTTTACAGTTTGAAGTTGAAATTGAAATTTAGTTCAATTTTAATGCCCCTCGCTTTTACCCCTGCTCTGCCCCTTATTCCTACCCAAAGCCCAAACTGCTCACATCATTTACCTTTTGCTTTGTTTTTCTTTATTCTCTTATCTTATTGAATTGACTAATTTTCTAGTACAATGTTGAATAGAAGTGGTGATAACAGGTATCCTTGTCTCACTATCCCAGGAAATTTTCAGTGAAATACCATTAAGTATAGTGTTTATTGTATGTTTTATACATATGCTTTATCAAATTAAAGACATTCCCTTCTGATCCTATTTTGATGAAAGTTTGTATCATGAACTTGGTGGTGTATTTTATCAGTTGCTTTTTTGTAATAATCATAATTTTCCTGCTTTACTTTGTTACTGTGGTGAATCACATTGATTTTTGTTTGTTTTAGAATATAATTTTTTTAAGATTTGTTTTTATTTATGCACACAAGAACTGGGGTGTAGGCCAGAGGTATGGGGGTGGAGTGGGTGGAGGGAGGTTTGAGAGGATTCACCAGAGACAGAGTAGGGAACAGAACAGGTGGATCTACAGGAATACAGTAGACAGGAGTGAGACAGGAGAGGTCTGCTGTGCCATTTGTGCCTTAGCTTCCTGACCCTGGCCAAGGATTAAACCCAGGCCATCCTGGGAATAAGGTAATAGCACTGTGACTTAACCCTTTCGTCACCAGGGAGACCCTGATTGGTTTTGTTTAATGTTAAAAGTATTTTGCATTCTTGGAATAAATCCAACTTCAGTTTGCTAATTTTCTTTCAAGTATTTTTAACTTCATGAGCAAGATTAGCCTATCATTTTTCTTACTTTTTTTTTTTTTTAAGATTTATTTATTTATTTATACAAGCACTGGGTACAGTCAGAAGCACAGGAGGGTGAGAGAATTCACCAGAGCCAGAGCAGGGAGCAGAGCAGGCAGAAGGACCGAAGTACACTGCTGAGGGGAGCAGCAGGCGGCAGGAGAGGTCTGCGCGCCATGTGGGACCCTCCTCCGGTGGCCGAGGAGCAGCCAGGGATCGAACCGGCACTACAGAGGCTGCGGGTAGCTTCTCAACCCAGCGCTCAACCGCTGCGCCACTGGGGAGGCCCTCATTTTTCTTTCTTATAATCTCCTTGTTGGGTTTTAGTTTTAGGTTGATTCTAACCTTAAACTAAGAAGGGGAGTATTATTAAGAAGGCTAGTATTATTTTTGTTTCTAGTCTCTAAAAGTATTTATATCAGATTGGTGTTATGTATTTGACAGAAAATCTAATAGCTAAGAATATGTTGACAGGTGAAACCATCTAGGACTAAAGTTTTCTTTGTAGAAGGTATTTTTTTCACTTTAATTTAAAATAACATTAAAATAAGAAAATTATGATATTCCATGTCAATTTTGATAACATGTTTTTGAAAGAATTTTTATATTTCTTGCATATATTATCAGAATTAGTTTGCAATATCTTTTATGTCTTTAAGTATCTATGGGATTTTCAGTGATATTTCTTTTCCAATTTCTGGTATGTGTAATTTATGACTGTTCTATTATTTTCTTGAACAGTCTTGTCAGAGGTTTATCAAAGACCAATTTTTGGCTTTGTTGATTTTTCTCTATTATATATAGTCTATTTCATTAATTCTGCTCTTTATTGTGCCTGTGCTTCCTTTGATTTAATTTGTCGTCTTTTTTTCTGACATCTCGAAATGAATAGTTCTTTCATTGATTTTTTTTTCATTGTCCCCTTGAAGGTCCAAGTGTCTATAAATTTCTATCTAACAACATTTAGCTATACCTTTGAAAATTTGTTTATTATCATTTAATTCAAAATATTTTCTCATTTCCATTGTGATTTTTTTCCTTTATTTTATGAGTTGTTTAGAAATGTGCTACTTAATTTCTGAACATTTGAGAATATTCATTATCTTTAAATAATTGATTTCTAGCTTGCTTTCATTATGCTCACACATACATCGTATGATTTCAGCCCTTAGAATTAAGGGATTTACTGCATGTCCCATTTTATGGCCACCT